CTTATAGTTATGGAACAACAATTGATGAAAAATATTCTAAACCATGTTTTTGTTCAAGTACATCATGTACTGGTTTTATGCCTTATCAACATACAGATTTAAATTAATTAATATCTATATTGGATTATTGTTCCGAACATTTTTTGTGATAACTATATGAACGAAAACGAATAAAGAAAGTAAAATACTTTCAAACAAAAGTCTTTTTAATTTATCTCGTCGGAATGATAATAAATATGTTCTTCTCAATAGATACGTGATTGGAAGTCGGTGTATGCAGAATCAAACTTAAAGAGTATATGATATGCTTCACTTTGTGATCTTTCAAGTGAAGCTTTTGGTACATCGGAAATCAATATATTATGTTCATTCTCATATCCTGTAATACAAAAAAATACATCGGTGATAAATACGATGACATATATACAACTTAGATCCGTAAATATTAAATCTTAATTGTATTTGCTAATCTTGTTCAGTGAATATTGCTGTGCTATCTTTAGACAATCGTCATTTTTTCGTTTGTGAATGTGATTGTGATAAGTTCTTTGCTAATACAAGTTTACTTGGAATAAATAGTGGAGAAACTGTCTCTTTTGATTTGATTCACAAAATAATTAGAATTAAGACTATTACGGCGTAGATTATTTGTTGTTGAATTATGTTGAAGATGATATAATGGATAACTATTTGACATGTTTTTTTCCTAATCTGAAAACAAAACAAGAAAAAAATTCTATGTTCATTTGTTATCTTTCAGAATTTAATCGTTTCGTTTTTTTTCTTTTTTTCGTTTTTTTTTTCTAATGAATTATTTTCAGCTAAAATTTCTTGTTCAAGAAGACGATGTTTTCGTTTATTGATTTTTTCTGCTTCACCAAAATCTTCTTCATCAATGTGAATTTCAACCTGACTTCGAGTCATTGAAATTTCAACAACAAGTTTAAGAACTTCTTTTTCTTTTACATGATATTCTATTAATTGTTTATTTATACAATCTTCCATTTTGTGCATTCATTTTACATCATATTGTGTTACAAGTATTATAGCAGTACCACTACGACCTAAACAATAAAATATAGAAAAATTAATTTTGAAAATTCTCATAAACTCTTAATTTGATAGTTTAAGAGTTTACTGACAAGAACCTCTCTAGGTGTGAAATCGTCTTTCGATCGAGACAATGTTCATTTGATAACTAATAAAAAATTCTAGAATAGTTTGATTTTCCCAGCCTTCGTTTTCAAGATGAGTTTTCGAACCAAAAGTAGTGGTCTTCTTCAACCAAGGTTCAATCATTTCTGTACTCTGATCCTTGTATTTTCAACGAGAACCCGCAAGAAACACCCTCTTTCTGTCAATACCTCATTCATTTGGAGCATCATGTCGAAAATCAATTTCAAGTTTCTACTTTGCACACACATCAAATTCTTAATGAGATCAGTTGCTTATGCAACTGGTATTTTCTCTCTAAACATGTAAATATATGAACAAAACTTCCAATATTTTATATCTCATTGAAAATTTTATTCGTGGAAAGTTTGAACGATTCTAAACTTTTCTATAACTCATCAAATAAATATCATCTCGGTTAAAAATCAGTTTGACACCAAGAGAAGTATCCTTATGAGTTAATTTTTGTGTAGAAAGTCAGAAATATATATGCGTTCAAATCTTATGCCTTGAATTTCAAAATAATTTACAGTTGAAATACTATCGGGTACCCCAAAAGTTTTGCAACATGTTTTTTTTTTGTATAGTATGTTGAACAGGTGTTGAATCAGAGATACACAATCTACCCGTGTGGGGAAGCGCGGGATTGGGGAAATTTTGGAAGAATGTTGAGATTGTGAAACTTTTCAAACAATGTTACAAACTCAACAAACGGGTTCTCGGGCTTATTTTTATTTTTTTTTATCATTTTGTAGATCTATAACGTTGTTTCATTTGCATACAAACCATTTATCTCTTTTTTCTTTCCGCCAACCGATTTTTCCATAAGCATTTCTACTTAGCGCTATTTCTGATCTTTTACTCTTGTTAATCACTACCGTTTGTTGTAAATTATTAATGGCTACTCCTGCAAAAAGTAAAATAGCATAGATTTTGATAGTAATCCCTTATTTTATAGAGGAAAAATAATGAAGCAATACTATGAAGACACAATAATGAAGATTTCTTGTAGTCACCAAGATCTGATATAAAGAAAGCATGTTTGAACAATATGTTGTAATCATTTCTCTAAACCGTCACCTATAATAAGTTATCCACACATATAATTCTTGACGAAGACTTTCTCGTACAAAAGAATATCACTGCCTAGAAAACAGTCAAAAGAATAGATCATCAAATCATAGTACTTCTATTATTAAATTATGCTATAATCGAAAATTTTGAAAGCTTTTAGAAACATTTTACCAAGAAATCGAGAGATTATCTACAGTAACGTAGATTTTATCGAAACTCATCCTTTTTACACAAAAAGAAGAGTTTTCTTAAATAAAAGTGTACTCTAGAAAGTTCTCAAAGACTATATCCTTATGAGAAGATCACTTCAAGAAAGGTGAAGTGAAAAACCTTAAGATAATTTATTAATTCTCCAATTTGAGTAGAGACTTGAACCGAATTCGATGATAAAAATTTGTTCTATCTGTTGTAGATTCATATCATCCATTTATTAGTTTCATTGTCTAGTAATTGATCATAATCACAATTATTTTGGCTTGTTTACGTTGCGCATGTCTTTGATATCATATTTATAGCTCACTTTTGACGTTTTTTTTTACGAATATGCACATTCAAACAAAGAAACTCTTCTCTATATGTTTCTGGGCGGGAAAATTTTTCATATTTACATCAAACTCTGCACCTATGTGTTGGATATTTAAAATCAAATAAATGACATTGATCTTTTAACCATTTTTCTTTATTGGTAATGAATCAAATGATGATGATTCAACAAAATCTTTTCGTAATTGTGTTTCTTCTTTATTATCAATCATTCTTTGTCTGAAAGTTCAAAATATAAAATTGTTTTTGCGCATTTGACAGTCTACAGACAAATTGAGTTGAATCATCGATTCATTATCAAATCATAAGTGCTAATGTGTTTTGATTGGTTAATTTGTATAGATTATTTCTCGGTAGAAGCACTTTTTTTTGAAAAAAACTAAAAGCACAATTAGATAGAAAAAAGTTTTCTCTATCGACCAGTATAAATCAAAAGTTTGACCCATTTTTTTTGCCAGAAAACGTCGTACATAGCGCATTTGATATTGATTCGCATAACTCGCTATTATTTTCTTTCTCTGTCGGCTGACTATGATTGTAAAATGACATTGCAAACCCTTCTTTTCGAACGAACTGATTCAGCACACCAATATTTATTGGCTAGTAGAGATTCCACAACAAGATAAGCTCAACAATAGATGACACTACTAATATTGTTAATCAAAAGAGTTTTCTTATTTGTCATCTACTGTGCCCATCTATCAGTATTCTATTTAGACATTTTCATTATGTTATAAATATCCTATTATTTTCTCTCCTATTTTATTTTAGATGAGTACAATACTTCTCCATAAATAACTTTTTTGAATTTCTTTCGTTTGTTTAACCTGACATAACTTAAATATACCCTTACACCATACAATAATCCAAATAAATACTGACTGACTTAGGCCATCAAGCATATATGAAGAATGAAAGAAAAAAATGTAAGACAAATGGCGTATGATTGGATATTTTTAAACTGATTATAGTTGAATATTTTTTGTTGTTAACTGCATGATATGATCATCTCTCTTCTTTTGTATGGGCGGTAGGCAATTATGAGTTGTATAAAGCCTACCCCTATAAATAATCGTTAATTATTCGACGACAATAGTTTAGATCTGAATATAAACGTTGAGAGAAGCTTTTTTTTGTCCATATTTCTAAATTAATCATGGGTAATAGCTTGAAAAGAAAAAAAAAAGGTACTGCTCAAGTTGCTCCACAACAAGGCCTAGTATATTCATATCCTAAACAACAACAGCAACAACCAGTTCAATACAATTCAGCTTTTGTTCAACAACAACCACAAGCAACTTTTCAAGGTGGATTACCGTACTCATCACCATTTATTACAAGTCAAACAACATATGGAAATGATATTTTTGTTTCAAGTGTAACCGGTTGGTCTGTACAAGATATTGAACGATTACGACAAGATTATTTAAATTATACTAATCAATATGGTATAATAGATCGTGATGGGTTTCGAAAACTTTATATTGCTTCATTACTTAATACGTCATGGCCAGGACTTGAACATAAATCTGAAGCAGCTTTTCATTATTTTGATGTTAATCACACAGGTGCACTTGATTTTGATGAATTTATTATGGCATATTTACGTATGGCTAGAGGAATGAAATGAACTGCTAACACATTCCTCTTATTATCATTAACTAAACATTAGTTTACTCATTTTGTCTATATATTTTGATATTTTTGTTTAAATAAAAAAAGATTATTTTTCTCTTCCCGTATAGTGATGTATGTACAAAAATTTACAGTAGTTGAAGTGTTTGAAGCTTTTTTTTTTGATAGTAACAAAAGCTGCTTGGATGGGAACTCATGGAAATTAAGATCCTCAAAGTCAACTTTCTGACTTCTATTCAAAGCTTTTGAGAAAAGATTTTGCTTGAGACAGCAAGATAAGACTTCAATCTTCCCATAATCTTTTTTTATCGAACTGCATTTCGTTTTTTTATTGAAAAATATGATGTTTTTGACGTGTTTCATCACATGATGTATTTTGTAAACTCATTGCAATTCTATGAAAGAAGGTCATGAAAAGGTCGAACAGTATCATCTTGTTATATGAAATAAAAATTTTTTCGAAAAGTTTGCATCCTATTCAGAAAAGTAGTATTGGAGTTGTCAGTTTTTCTCAGACGTTCTTCTAAGCAGTTTTTTTAGAGTCTTTGAATTGCCCACTCCTAATAGAGATTTCTTTTAGCTACACAAGTGTTTTTTCAAATTCTTGCTGATTATTACTATAGAGAAGAAAATTTTTAAATACGAATCACTCTAAACTTGTGTTTATTATTATATTTGTCAGATTAAAAAATTTGTTCATTTTAGATGTCTAACATTGATCATAATAATGATGATGGTCTTGGAGAATATCGTCTAGCACTAGCTACTCAAGCTCCTGAAAATTCTCTATCTAAACAAGAAAAACGTGCAGAATTACGTTCACGTTTTTTAAATGTTCTTGAATATTTAAAAACTAATCAAACTATTTCACCTA